ACATAACCTCAAACAAAAACCCTGGAAATTTCCTGTCACTTTTGCAGTTATTAGCAAAGTATGATCCAGTAATGAGAGAGCATTTAGAGCATGTTAAAAATAAGCAAACGTCAACATGTTATCTTTCTCTTGAAATCCAAAATGAGTTTATAAATCTCATGGCTTCACATGTGCGAAATTATTGTTTGTCAGCAATTCGTAGAAACAAATACTATGGTATTCTGTTTGATTCCACACCTGATTTAGCCCATCGTAAGCAATTGGCCCAAGTGATTCGGTTTGTTGACATTAACTTTAAGACAAGAAAAGTAGAAATCAAAGCGTCATTTATTGACTTTATACAAATAAAGGAAAAAGATGCTGCCAATATCGAGAAAATAATAAGCACAGAATTAGAAGTGGGTGGAATTTTATTGAGTGATTGTTCTTCACAATGTTATAATAATGCTGCTGTCATGTCAGGTCATCTGTCAGGCGTTCAACAATGAACTCTGAACAAAAATCCAAAACCAGTGTTTATAAACTGTGACAACCATAGTTTGAACTTAGCATGTCTTCATGCTGTAAGTCAGGAAACAACAGTTATTACCTTTTTTGGTATAATTGAAGCCATTTATAATTTCTTTGCTCATTCAACATCTCGATGGGACAAACTTCAGCAGGAGCTTAAGATCTCTGTCAAGCGTGAATCAGAAACATGGTGGAGTGCAAGAGAAAAGGCAGTAAAAGTTGTACATGAAAAACTGGATGAATTGTTGGGACTGTTAGAGCAATTAAATGAGAATAGCAACACGGGTGAAACAAAATGTGGTGCTCATAATATTCTGCAATGCATGCTTACATTTGATTTTCTTGTACTTTTGCATTTTTGGAGAAATATTTCATCATCTCTCAATCGAGTGCAGAAAAGTATTCAGGACCCAAAAATGAATTTTAGAGAAGCAGCTGCTGATCTTGATTCTTTGAAAGAGAAACTGATAGATTCATGCGAAAAGTCCTGTCAAGAAGCACTTAAAGTGGGCAAGAATCAATGTGAAGCATGGGGATTGACT